AGCTGTAATCACCCTGGCAGCCTGCAGCTCTGTCCCCGTGTCACCCTGCAGATTTGTCACCCCACAGCCCTGTCCCTGTGTCACTCAGCAGGTTTGTCACCCCATAGCCTTGTTTCTGTGTCACCCTGTAGGTTTGTCACCCTGCAGATTTGTCACCTGCAACTCTGTCCCCATGTCACCCTGCAGTTTTGTCACCCCACAGCCCTGTCCCTGTGTCACCCTGCAGGTTTGTGACCTGCAGCCCTGTCCCCATGTCACTCTGCAGGTTTGTCACCCCACAGCCCTGTCCCTGTGTCACCCTGCAGGTTTGTCACCCCGCAGCCCTGTTCCCGTGTCACTCTGCAGGTTTGTCACCCACAGTCCTGTCCCTGTGTCACCCTGCAGGTTTGTCACCCCACAGCCCTGTTCCCGTGTCACTCTGCAGGTTTGTCACCCCACAGTGCTGCCATCCTACAAGTCCCCATTGGTGCCACCGTGTCCCCACAGGACCATCAGTGACCCCCAGTCCAACTCTGGTCCCCTGTCCSCATCCCAGACTGCGGATTCCCCTCCCCACCACGCTCCAGCTCTTGCAAGACTTGGGGTTCTAATTCTAGAAAGAGTTAATTTATTTAATAGGTTGATTAAGACACCAGTGGGGTTAATTAAAACCCCAATTCCCACCCCTGCACTGCTGCAGAGCCTCCCTGGTGAGACCCTTTCCAAAAACACCCATTGGAGCCCCAGGAATGATGAGGAGAGGAGGGAATATATGAAAGAAGGAAAATGGATGGGAAAATGTGGTGAAGAATGAAGAAATGTGGGAAATCATGAGAAAACGTGTGAAAACAGAGGGAAATGTGGGAAGCGTGTGAAAACATGGGGAAGTGTGGGGAAGTGTGGTAAAAATGTAGGGGAAAATGGGGAAATAAGGAAAAGTATGGGAAAATATGGGAAAATATGGGGAAATGTGGGGAAATAAGGGTAGATTTGGGAAAAAGTAAAAACATGGGGTAACATGGGGAGATGTGGGGTAACATGGAAAAACAAATGGAAATGTGCGGGAAAAAGGAAAAATACAGGAAAAAAATGGGGAAACATAGGGAAATGTGGGGGGAAAAAGGAAAATCTGGGGAAAACATTGGRAAGCGTAGGAAAATGTGGGCAAACGTGCCCCCATGCGTGGCGGGGGGCTGCATGTACAGGTGACACCCATGCGTGAGGAGCCGCTGTCCCCGCGGGGATCCCGGCGGTGCCCCCCTCGTGTGCCGCGCCCTCTCCCCGCTCCCAGCCCCTCCCTCCCCATCCCTCCCC